GACACCACTCCACCGGCCACCCCGCACCTTCCAAGGGGGTTTTGTGCCCCGGCAGCATCTCTGGCGCCTTGACCCGGAGTCCTGCGACTGTGGACACTCCCTGAACAGTATTTTGCGCGAACAGGCGTCACTCTGCGCGCTCGCTCAAGCAGTGCGTCCATAAGTGCCAGAGGGCTTTCGTAGGAAGCGTCGGTGCGTGCGAGGCGTGCCCACCATCTCCAAGACCACACGGGCCTCTCACGATGAATCTCGCTCGCGAAGTTCGAAGCCAGGCGACCAATCGAGCAGGCGACATCGAGCGACATCGAACCAAGTCTCCTTGCCAAGTCGCTTCGAGATCTGGCACCTGCTTGGCCACGGCCGAGAACAAGAACTCACGGGCTTCCTGCTTCTTCCTCTTGTACTCGTCGCTCTTCCTTGCAAGGACAACGCCAAAGCTCGAATGGCATGCCTCAGTGCGGCGATGCGGCTCGTCGAGCTCCCAATCTTCCCACGGCTCCGTAGCCGGAGTGTAGGCATGCAGTACATGATGACCCGGAGGAGCTAAATCCGGGTCCAACCTTGGCTCGCCTAAACTCTCAGGACTAGGGTCCCTTAGGGTCCCTTTTCGTTCCTTGCTTTCGTTTAGAGCTCAAGGGGCATGGACGGGCAGCTGACCAAGACTGCATTGCGCGGAGCCTCCAGGGACCAGTCGTTGAACACACCCCACTGGGCCGGGAACTCGGCGCAGTGACCGGACGGGAGGCCATCACCACGGAAGCCCAGGTGCAGGTGGATGAAGGACTTCAACAGCGGATACTTCTCCCACGTCGTGTTCAAGTACTCCTCCAACTCGGGGGCCGAAGCCTTCTTCACCAGCTGCTTGGTGACCTGCCAGTCGGTGTTGCCTGCGGAGACACCAGGGAGACATCAAAAAGCACCAGGGACACATGGCAATTGGCCATTGAAGCATGCACGTGCTGAGCGTCTGACTCACGACAGCCTGATGTGCCCGGATTGTTTGGCCACTTCTCAGGCGGACCCCCACTGCGCGGCCACCTTCAACCAAGATCTCATCCACATGGGACTTCAGCAACACTTTGCCTGCCAGGAAACTGGTGAAATCAAGCAGGCCTCCATGTCGAACCCGCGCCTCCATGCTTCTCCACCCCTCGAACCAAAGCACCCACTAGCGCTTCATTGCCCCCCTTCGGAAAGTCTAAGCAAGTATTCTTCTTGTACAGGTCGCCCATCATGTAGGCCTGAGACCGCTGCCATGTGTCTCGATTGTCACTGGCATCATGCGCCAAGGCACCATCATGCTGGTGGGCGCTCCGTACGATGGCAGCCCCTGCAGCAGGAAGGCAAACATGTCCATCCAATTCTTGATGAAGGGGTCTGTCACCTCAAATTGCAATCTGAGAATATCAGATCTGAGAAGCCAGCCAGGCCTCAATGTTGAGCCCCCGGCACCGGCATCATCCAAGAACTTGCTGAAAGGCTCCGACAGCCTCTGCGGACCCCCGGGGATGGGCTTCAGCTTCGAGATGTATCTGGCAAAAGTGATGGCGGCCCCGAGGTCCTCGCGCACGAAGGAGGGGGGCGGGCCGTTGCAAATCGCGTCCGCCATCGGCATGATGGCCTTCATCAAGCGCTCCCACTGCTGCGGCGCATCAGGACCTCCGAACCTCGGAAGCAGCTTGGTCACAAACTCCTCGTAGCCGATGGCTGCATTGGCCTCCCCCTCGGGGATGAAGGCATTCCACCTTCGGATTCCTACTTTCGTTTCCCCAGGGCGAACAAGGACCTGGAGGCGTGTCTAGACATGTGAAAGTTCTTGGATTGAAGCAAGCAAAACACTCACAGTGGTGATTTTGGCCCATGAGAGCCAGATCGCATTGCAAGGATGCTCGTCTTGTCTGGCACGGCATGACCAAAACCAGCACAAGCAGCCCAGCAATCATGCACAGAGCATCGGCTTGAAAGGAAAAGAAGCTTTGGCAAAGCCATGTTGGCTTGAAACCATCCTTTCCCGCCCGGCCTGTCATACTGGATCCACTCGGGCTCCTCCCCAAGAATTTGGTAAACATGCTTCAGCGGCGAAGACGTGCACTCGCCACTGAGGCCACCATACAAGGAAGGCCCGGAATCGAAGCAGAAGTCGCCGTCCACGCCTTTGGCCCGCGCCCGGAAGGTGTGAGCCGCGCCGCCTGGCGCGTAGTGCGACTCCAGCACCGTCACGGACTTCCCAGCTGCCGCAAGGACGCCGGCGCAGGTAAGGCCCGCCAGGCCACTCCCGATGACCACCACATCAGTCTCCACACTCTCCACACTCTCCACACTCTCCACACTCTCCACACTCCCCGCGAACCTCACAGTCCTCACAGTCCTCACAGTCCTCACAGTCCTCACAGTCCTCACGGTCCCCACGGTGCCCTGGGCCTTGCCCCAGCCTTGGCCTCTAGCTCGGGCGGCACACGCAGCGACGGCCACAGAAGCTGTGAGCGCAAACCGAGGCCTCTCTGTCCTCACGGCCCTCACCGTCCGCACTTCACGGGTGTGGACACCTTGACACGGCTGGCCAGGCGCAGGCAAAGGCCATGGCTGCCATAGCTCCATGCCTGAAACGTGCTTCCGACGCGGTGCTTGGCGGCTTCTGCAATGATGCGCAGGAGTCAAAAATACACTTGCTAAAGCTGCTGTGGCTGGGGAGTTGAATGCTGGGCTGCGAGCTCGCCAATTGGCTGATCCATGCCATGCCAAGTAAGCCAGCGCACAAAATCTGTTGATACGTAAAACAAGCAGGCTATGCAGTCATTCCAGGAGGTGTGACCTATTCAACAAGCTTCAAGACCTGTTTATCTCGTCTAAGCTTCACATACTGACATACTGAACAGTGTGCACAATTTGGCCGGCATGACCGAAGCATCGCACCACCTGTGCACCCAGCAAATCTCAGTGTATTCACGCACAACATGCGCTCAACATCTTGCCCTCACCGCGCCCTTTGCATTTGACATCTGGGTACGCCTCTCACGCTTTGCGTTGTCCCAAGCTGAGTCATGATCAAAATGGTACTGTACTAAGTTGCCCGTGAAAAATCAAAAGGGCGACCGCACTCGATTCTGGCAGAGACTTGAAATCCTTCAACTGCCCTGATTTTGATTGTGGCTCAGCTGTCCTTCCTGTACTGGGGTCGCATTGCACGGACCCGAATTCACACCAAGGGCGACTCCCAGCCTGAGTGAAACAAGCACGAAGCGCTGTCACAGCCCTCGTCACCGGGCAATCTCGCAGCCAATCCTACAGAATGGATTGCAAGAAAACATGCACTGGGGAATCACTGCCTCACTCTCAACGATGGCAGCTTCAGCAACTTTGGCTGAAACTTGAGACGTCTCCCGGTCGAGCAGGTGCAGTAAACCTTGTCTCGCCAAGCCTTCCCGCGACTCAGAGAAATTCAGCTGTGAGTTCTCTTGATCGGTCTTCTGTGGATCCCAAAGCCGTCCTCGAAAACCTTCCGGGGTGAGCAAACGATGAAGATTCGTAGCGGCGTCTGAGTTGGGCTTGCCTGCGAAGCCAGCCGCAAAGGGACCTCACATCGGTTCAACACGTTCGAAGGAAACATGCACCTAAGCCTCCCCATGCCCCACTCCCCCTCACGCGCCTGGGGGAAGGGGGAACGGCAAGAACACCCTCTCCAGTGGCCTCACCCCGCCAAGGTCTTCTTCCAGCTGATGCAGCGCAAAATCCTCCCGCAAGGAGGCCACGTTGGTGACGAACCTCATCTTCTGACGCTGTCGCTCCGTCATAGCGGCCTGCACCACGCCAAGGAGGGCTCGAACAATGAATGGGAGATTGCAGACATAGAAGCGGTACACTCGGCCAGCGTCCTGCTTTGTTAGAACCTCCTTCAGCTCCATGAGCGCCGAAACGGACGGTATCTGGCTGTAGGACAGGTCCTTGAGATCAATGAGCACGACAATGTTCTCCACACGTCCCGGAACCATCATGAAGCGAAGGAAGTACTCCATGCAAAAAACGAAGAGTCGGCCGAACTGCTCACTTTGTATTCCCCCAGGAGCGCGGCCCGCTCGCATCACCAGAGCTGGGCGAAGGCCATTGTCGCGTCCGCAGAAGTAGATGAACCCCTTCCGGAAATCCTCCACCAAATCCATGTCCTGGAGTGGCTGCGGGAAGTACTTGAGCCGCCATGACTGGGTGTTCATCATATGCTGCAGGGCCCCTTCCACATCAAAATGATGGTCCCCCAAGTAGCGCACGGCGGCCACACTGACCGAAGGCAAGAAGGACTTCTTCTCCCTAGCCACCCTCTCCTGAAGGCTCCGCAACATGGACAGCTCCTTCATGGACAGCCGGGTATTGCACGAGATCATTCGCTCAGAGTCTCCATTCTTGAAGCTCAAAACTATAGCGCCCGGTGCTGGACGGTAGGTGAAGCATTCCTCTGGGAGTGAGAAAGGCGCGATGTGCTGTGCCTGCACGTCGATGGTGTGCTGGTCCGGCAAAGAGGGGAAGCCGTTGCATTCCGAGTTGGCACTTTCAGTGCTCCTCACGTTGACGCCTGACACGCCTGACACGCCTGACACATCCTTTGGCAGCTTCGCCTTTTGCTCCTTCAGCTTCAGGGCGATGCAGTCCTTCAAGCCGGCAATGCATTGCATGGCTGACGGCTTTGAGCCAGCTGGCACGCAAGAGGCAGCAAGGAGCATCCAAACACCTCAGAACCTCTTGCACGGTCGCAAGAGAAGGCACCAACAGATTCAGAGTGCGATGTGACTTGTTCCTGCCTGGGTCCCCTCAAACGGTGCAGGTCGCAAGCTTGAGCCGCGCATGGAGCCGCGCATGGAGCCCCGCCCCCATCTACCGGGAACCTACCCAGTTTGCCCCTCGGTGCCTCCTGAATCGCGCACTCCCGACTCCCCACTCTCACTCGGGGCTTCGGGGCTTCGGGGCTTCGGGGCTTCGGCTCCCCCCCCCCCCAAGCGTGACGAAGCGGCAGCGCAAGTTCTTCATGGCAGCTGCAGCCACCTCCTGGCGCACACCACGCAATGCAAAGCCATGCAAAGCCCCACAGTCACACGGCCTCAGTGAAGTCTTTGTCTTTCGCCTCATGCACAAAGCTTGGGAGACGCATGCCCTCGTTAAGGCCCTGCCCTCATGCACAGTCATGCGCCTTGGGCGCTGCCATCGGCCACAGGCTGTTAGCCAAGTCCTCAGGACGCAAAGAGAAGAGCAAAATCGATCAAGCGCAACTAGGACACAAGGAAAACAAAGGCTTCATGGAAAAATGCTAACTTGGTTACTAGCTCGCAACGACGCAACGAGGCAAAATCAGAGCGTAAGCGAGGTGCTACAAGCAACGAGCCGTTTTAGGGGCAAAATCGGCGTGGCCCCGCGCCCGCACCTGGGCATTGAGCGCCTGCATTTTCCGGAACGAAGCCTTGGTCACACACTGCAACATCTGACAAAAGCATGGGGAAGCATGACATGAGGAAGACCCTGGCTGTGGACCTCGGGGGGCTAAGACTCTGTACCCAGTGCACCTATATCCCTGCATCTGGCTCTTGGACATGCAAGGGGATATCTGAGATGGAGAAAGTAAGGACACAAGGACGGTCCTGGATTGTCCCGCTCTTGGTTCTCTTGCTATCGCGGCCATAAAGAAAAAGGAAGGGCTTTGGGCCCAAACATGACACGATGATTCAATGATCGCAGGGAAGTCAAGCTTCATGCTCAAGCAAAAACAGGATACACTTATAGAGCGAGGCGTGCTCGCTGTCAAATCAAGAACGACACATCAAACCGCACCACACCAACCACAACAGTAACAGGTCAAAAAAATCACCAGGAAATTTGGCAGGCGCGTCCAGCTGGCCAAGCTGAATATCCCGCTTCACTGGTAGCTTCGTTGGACATAAGGACGAGCACATCAACCGGCACAGAAGCGAGACACGTATAAAGCATAACAGGCAGCGCAGGGATCAATGTCATTAGAAACCTTGTTGTGCCAAAAGCATCAACCATATCAACGGCATTCTGAGACTTCAACCTTGGTAGCTGCATCCATCGAGGAGGAGCCTTGGCTGTATCCATCCACGCGGAGGGCAAGTCCGTGGCGTCTGTGCTGCTGGCACTATGTCTCACTGTTTGCTTCTTTCAGCATGCTGCCCAGCTCTTGCCCTTTGGAGAAACATTCTCTTCCTGGTGTCGGGGCAAGCTACGAGCCGCTTCCGCTTCTCACTTGAGCTCCACATGCAGGGTGTGGCGTCCAAGGTACTTGTTGAACTTTCTGAGCTTGAGGAGCTCAGGGGTGTTGCGCACGTTCTTCTCCGTGTAGTATCGGCTGACACCTCCGCGAGGGCCGCCTGCTCCTGGTACCCCATCCTTTACCATCTGCCTCTGCTCCGTGCACTCCAGGACCACGATCTTGCGGCCCTTCTTGGTCGGCTTGCGGTGGGCTGCCATGGACACCTTCTCCCTGGCCTCAGCCAGACACTGCGCGACTTGGGCTCCCACTCTCTCTCACGCTGCGCTCTAAGCCTCCCACCAGCGCACGCCCTGCCACCAGGCCGGCCAGGCACGCAGCCAGGCCAACTTGCGTCCCGCTCGATGCAGCTTGTGGCTGTTGGGCTTCGAAGCGCCTTGGCGCCTGCAACGCCACCTACGCGAGACAACTCCCTGGCAGTCTGGCACACCCTGGCACACCCCATGGCCTGCTCGTTGAAGCCAGGCACAAAGGCCGTAACACTCACTGCCTGGCGCGAGCTGCTCTGTCCATACCACGGTACCATGCGCTGATTTCTGCAGTCATCCTTCAACGCGCGACTGTGACCAAGCCAACTGCGTGATGCCCTTTTAGGCAAGATACTGGACCGCCCTTCATTTTGAGTGCAGTGTGGCAAAGTTACAGTGCTCTTCAATCAGTGCCCAAACTAAGCCAAACTCTGTGTGCCTGCACTGATGCGCATACAGTTTAGTTGGAGATGAGACACCTGTTAAGCAGCAAACTGAACCACGCGGCCATGCGACTGTATTGATTGTTTGTCCGCAGGATTCTGAATGCCAACAGTCAAACTTGGGCCAGAGAATGCTGGACCTTCAACAGCCTTTGGCACCCTGGACAATACTGGCCTGCAGCAAGGCAAGCATGAATGAGCGCATCACCTCCGGCAAATACAAGAAACAAGCTAGGACTTGAGCAGAGTCTGAGACTTCCATTCTCTCTCTCTCGCTCTCTCTGCAGGTCTGGGGCTGCCACCCCAACTCCCATTGGACCGGCCTACTTCAAATCCGGCCCCCTTTGAGCATGAATTGCCGCAACGACACAAAATGCGAGTCCCCCGCCCAAAATGGCGAACCAGCACAAAGACACCCAAACAAAAACAGAAAACAAGCAATGAAGCAAACAAACAAACAAACAAACAAACAAACAAACAAACAAAGAAATAAAGAAATAAAGAATGAAAGAAAGAAAGAAACAATCATTAGCAGCAAACAATGAAGCAAACAAACAACAAACGGTGGCCAAACGCTTGAATTGCGGTCGCCGACTTTTTGCGCAATGCTGCTGCAATTCCTGATTGCTCTCTGCTTCTCACTTGAGCTCCACATGCAGGGTGTGGCGTCCAAGGTACTTGTTGAACTTTCTGAGCTTGAGGAGCTCAGGGGTGTTGCGCACGTTCTTCTCCGTGTAGTATCGGCTGACACCTCCGCGAGGGCCGCCTGCTCCTGGTACCCCATCCTTTACCATCTGCCTCTGCTCCGTGCACTCCAGGACCACGATCTTGCGGCCCTTCTTGGTCGGCTTGCGGTGGGCTGCCATGGACACCTTCTCCCTGGCCTCAGCCAGACACTGCGCGACTTGGGCTCCCACTCTCTCTCACGCTGCGCTCTAAGCCTCCCACCAGCGCACGCCCTGCCACCAGGCCGGCCAGGCACGCAGCCAGGCCAACTTGCGTCCCGCTCGATGCAGCTTGTGGCTGTTGGGCTTCGAAGCGCCTTGGCGCCTGCAACGCCACCTACGCGAGACAACTCCCTGGCAGCCTGGCACACCCTGGCACACCCCATGGCCTGCTCGTTGAAGCCAGGCACAAAGGCCGTAACACTCACTGCCTGGCGCGAGCTGCTCTGTCCATACCACGGTACCATGCGCTGATTCTGCAGTCATCCTTCAACGCGCGACTGTGACCAAGCCAACTGCGTGATGCCCTTTCAGCCTTTCAGTCAAGAACCGCCCTTATTAGAAATCGGGTGACCTAGATGACAGTCCTTGCCTGGAGGATGGCCAGAAGTGCCAGGGCCATGGCTCTGGGGCACGGTCCCTGGCCCCCCCCTGGGCAGAATCCAGCCAACTTGGGCCAAAGCCACCACAACCAATGCCGCAACGCCGCAACGCCGCAATGCCGCAACATTGAACCCCGTCACCCACACATTTGACATGAGCAATCATTGCTGATGCTTTTGACACCACAGGAAGGCAGACGCTCTGCACTATCAGAACTGAGCCTTCATACTATCAGACTGAGCTCCCCACTCTGAGCTTGCGAAACCTTCCAAATGCGGGCTGTCCATGTTGCATTACCGCAAGCCAAGGCCCTTGCTGTCGTGCACCACATGGCGTTGCTAAGGAATCGCGGGTTGAGCCTGGCGTGAAGCTATTGCTTGCACCCAACAGGCGATTCGCCGCCGCCCGCCAGCTGCACATGGGAGTGGAGTAGCAAAAGCGGCAGCAGGAGAGATAATCGCGGCGGTGGCAGCACTTGACACAGAAGAAAATGATACTAGACTAGTCTAAATGCGAGTACTAGCACTGGAAGAAGCAATAATCAAAGTGGTAGCCTTCAAACTCATTTTGCCACGGGCTGCAGGGTGGGGAACCAAAGGACCATAAGAACTAGGGGGCCAGGGGGCCAGGGGGCCAGGGGCTCAGAGGGGCAGAGGACAAAAGGACTGGAACCAAAGACAACGGGAGCAAAGGAGGAGACTGTGGACTGCGAAGACAAGGAAATCAAACAACTTATCTGCTGCTGGTGCCCTAGCACAAGTGCCAGCCACAAACAGCGCAACCGAGGAAAAACTCTCAAAGCAAAAGCATCTTGCAGAAGCCTGCACTACACGTTAAAACGAGAAGCAGAACCCTTTGATTCATTGGTTGTTTTTCCTAGCACATGGCCATACCCTTGCTTAACTTAATCATCGGTGCGCGATGGCCGTGTTGGGCTAGCCAGCTCTGGCAACAAGCAATTCTATTGCAAAACTCAGCCAACTTGCCAAAAGTGCTAGACCGACAAACGAGGAAGGAATCCAGGGATTGCAAGATCACGATGTGGTCGTTCTGCTGCATCCAATTAGTTTCAGGTCTCCATGTGCAGGCTCCTCGGCACCCGTTGCTGCAGGCCAAAGGCACCTAAGTCACCACTTTGGCTTGGCAGTCTTCTAAGCCATGGGTCGCGGCCAAAGAGTGGTGCGCCCCCACAAGCCAGCTTGCCCAGCCATCAAACCTCAGAAAGCGGCCACGCTGCCTCTTTTCACCATGCACAAAGCTGCAAGCGTCTCCGAACGCATGAAATCAGACCCGCTTGTGCCAGGCCGTGTTGACAACGCCCTGGTCCTCGAGATCAACCTGCGGTGGCCACTCTGGAGGGTCGCAGTCTCGCAGTGCCTTGCCTCCATGGCAGCTCGGCGGCAACCTAAGGCCCACACAGCGTACAGTGTTTCACTGGTGGCCGCTGATCAAAGGGCCGCACCTTCCAGCAAAGGCTCGCCTGCAAGTGCCGTGAGGCAACAAATCGCAAACGGCCTGTGCAAACCATGGCCTCTATGCAGCAATTTGCCAGGTGCCCGCAGCAAGTTGGAGAGGCCCTGCGGCCTCTGCCGAAGACTTGACTTTCCGGGTTGAGCCGGGCTGCCACGTCTGAGAACCGCGCGCGAAGTCATCCAAAATAGCGCGTGCTTGTTCAGCAAGTGCTGGCGAAGCACTTTCACTGCACTGCGCGCTGCTTTACTCGCGGAAAATCGCAGCGAAACGGAAATACAAAGACTTCACCAAGTGGAAACGAGCCCCACCTTTCAAAAGCGACTTATCTGCGTCCCCGTCCGCCGCGCTCCCTCGCACCTTGGCACAAAGCTCACTAGCCAAGTCACCGAACCTGGCTCGAGTCAAGGCACCACGTTGCTGAGCTACCGCGAAGAGAGTTCGTGCGAGCGCTGGGCTGCAGCAAAGGACGGCCTCAGGGAGGCGAACTCGGCGAAGTTGGCGATGCGTGCAGAAGCGAACACCGCGCCTTTGCAGAAGCGCCTTGTCTCGGGCCTTCGGCTTTGCAAGGCCCTGCCTCACATGTTTGCGACCAAATGTCAAGTCGAGATGTCAATGTCAAAGAGTTGCAACTTGCACCTCGTGCTTGAAGTGTGCAGCGGCTCGAGCTGCGGCATGCGTCGCAGGCTTTCACGGCCTGCCCAAGTCTCAGTGCCATGGATAGTTGTGGCTGACCTGCCTGTGGCAGCCATAGCTGGTTGGTGCAAGGATCCTTCCAGCGCGGACGAAATGCACAAACTTAGAGGCAGGCCACACAAAGAACTGGGAAGCCGGGCCCGTCTTTGCAAAGGCCCGTGCAAATGTTGAAATCTGACAGCCAACAGGTGTCAAGCATAAATTGCAGCAAATACGGTGCCTCACGGGGTGAATGAGCGCTCATGGTTGTCTGTGCCGCGACAGCCAAGTTCTCCAACTCTGCCTTGTCCTGGAACAAAGCGTGCAAAGCCATGCGACCGCGTCGCATGTGAAGTCAGACTGCTCCTTGCATGCCTGCTATGCCAACCTTGGAGCATCTTGCAGCAGCAGCGAAAGGCACCCAAGGCGAACATTGTAGGTAGGCATGCAATCAACAGCCCAAGATTACTCTCGATTGAGAGCGCAGCCACTGAGCTGTGTTGGCTGAGTCTGGTGCCTGTCGCTTGTACCATGCACCCGTCACACAAGATCTGCCCAGGCCTAGCCCTTTCGCCTGCCCTTGCAAAAACACATCACTGCAGCGAGGCGTGCCTTCGAACTTGCTCAAATCAAAATGCAAGTGGGCTCACCAGTTCTCTTGCCGGGGCCTCCAGAAATCTGCTAGGCTTTCCTCGGCGCTTCGTTGAGCGCCCAACATCAGCAAGATGCGAGGCCCGAGCTGCCCGAGAGGCCCAAATGGCCCGAGCCCCAGCGATGCGCGGCGGCGCGCGAAATGCCCGGGGCGCCCCAAGGGGCGCCAATCGAGGCACGCCTTCGGAGCTCCATGAACTCCATGGGCTCCATGGGCTCCATAGGCTCCATGGGCTCCAGCTGCATGCGCCGTGTGGCAGAAGCACGAAGCCTTCAAAATGCAAACCACGAGTCTCTGGGCACTTCAAATGACACTGTCTGCAAAAACACCCTTGAGATCACTCGGCGACGAATGCTGTACTCTGCCATCTCCGCCGCATGAGTTGGCAACCCGCATGCGATCGCCAAGTCGCGATCTGCTGCCTTTTACAGCCTGTGTCTGCTTTGCCGAGACGGCGCAGGCATACTTTGCACCCTTGAGCAGGCCTATGTTGATTTCTTTCCAAGTGACATGTTGCAAGGTGTTTCGACCTTCTTGCCTTGCAAATAAAACAAATAGATTCTTGCGAAATGCATGTACCGAGGCCATGTAGATCTTTCAAGATCTCAGCTTCTCAGACATCTCCCAATCACGGCCTGGAGCAACCGCAGCTCAATACCGCCAACGTCCACCCACTAGGACTCCGAGCGAAGTCGTGAAAGGATGGCCCGCTCGGAGCCTCACAGCGCCCGAAGTTGCTGCACGCGCCACTCAGGAACTGCCGCACTCAGGCTGTAGCTCTCCCGGGGCTTTTTCCGCCAGCCGTAAGCCTTGACAAGCAGTGATGGAGTCAAGGGTCACGGCGTGTTTGGTCCAAGCTGCGCAAGCATCCCATCAGGGCAACACTACATGCAATGCACCATCCAAGCACCCACAACTCCCTTGACTTGCAGGAACCTCTCCAAAGGCACCGGCACAACGCCGCACCCGCATGCGAGCAGGCCTTGCCCCCATGTGCCAATTTGCATGCCCCAGAGTGCTTTCAGCTCCTAGCCTACTCTCCGTAGCCTCATCCACGAGGATTTCTAGGCCTGGAGCTCGCACACTGAACTCGAGAGACTTGCAGTTCGCGCCTCCTTCCAACAAGCCATCGAAGCCACCTGGCCTCCGACTCGGAACTCGGAACTCGGAGCCGACTGGGAAGGACTCGGAACTCGGGAGCTGAAAGCGGAGAGCCTGGCCTGCGGCTGCCGGGCATAAACCTGAGCCGAGCCGTAGCCGGCGCTCAAGGCCGCTCAGCCGCTCAAGGCGTTGAGCTGGGCGCTTGATGCAAACCCCCTGCAGTGTCTTCCGAACCTCGAGGCGAGCGAATCTGCCTTTGCGTTGGCGCGTGTGGCACGTGCAGCGCGTGTGGCGCATGTGGCGCGTGTGGTGCGTGTGCCTCCACAGGGGTCTTCAGCCCAGCCCTCCTCATGGCCGCGCTATTTTGGTTGGCCCCTCGGCAGTAGTTGAACCTCGCGTCGCCGCGTTGTGCGATGTTGCAAAGGTGCGCCAAGGTGTGCCCCAGTGACGGCCCATCTGAGGCATGGACTCCACCCAGCCTTGAACCCAAACGCGGGCACGTCGGCCATCCGGCACATCCAGTCGCCATAGCTCTGGCCCTACCTTGCAAGTTGCCACAAGCGATTTGCGGTTTTCTTCTTGCTACCTTTCTTGATTCCTTTCTTTCTTGATTCCTTTCTTTTCTTTTTTTTTTCTCTCTCTCTCTCTCTTTCTGTCTCTCCCCAACTTGCTGGCAGATCGGCAGAGCCCCGAACCAATGGTAGCAGCCTTTCATCTAAATCCGCCTGGTGCACATTGCCGCGTTGAGAGGGGCATCTACGAAACGAAGGCAAAGGCAAAGGCTCCATGGCCTCCCCACTGCCGACGACTGACACTTCGGGCACGTCCTGAGCTTGGGCGCACGACATGCGAGGTGACAGTCGCAGAAGCGACAATGCCACGGCGGAGGGCGAAGTGCAGAACCTTTGCCACGGCCTGCTGAGAGGTGGAGCAATACAGCCCCCCCACAAAAAAGAAAACAAAAAGGAAAGAGGAAAAAAAACAGTGATGGGCAGTGCTGAAGCGCGCTTGCTATCCTGATGCTCTTGCTTTTTCCGCTCTCTGGATGAAAACTCTGAAAATCAAGCCAGTGAAGATTGCCCAACAAAAGGGCTCGGGAGGCCAACATCAGGAAGCCCTAGCGAACAAACTAGGACTCTGTGAATTCAATCATCGTAAAGCTGCACAGAAAGACCCAGGAAGACCTTTGGGCCTGCGACCTGCAATCAGACAGTGTTGAGCTCAGTCTCCTTTTGCTTGAATGCGCTATCCTTGATTCACAGCTTGCACATGCATCCAACAACTTTCATGCTCTGGGACGAAGCCAAGTATCCACTTCTGCCACTCTCTTTTTCACCATGTCCTCCACATCTTGCTGCATACCTCTTGCCTGAGCCCCAAGCTGGCCAAGTGCTCAAGGCATTTGCAAGGAAGGTGTGAGGCGCCCGCCAGGTCTTCGGAGACGTCTGTCTTCAAGCCCTTGATCTTCTTCATGGCCGCTTGTCGAACGTTGCGAATGGCGACCTGAGCGGGGTTTCCCCGAGGCGAGGCCCTGAGGCGAGGCCGCACGGGCCGCACAGGCCGCACAGGCCTTGGACTTCTCCGCGTAGTCCTTTGCCAGCTTCACGTAGTTGGTCCGCTTGTCTTTGGTCAGGGGCGGAATGTTCACCTTGCGGAAATGTGGCATGCCGAACTTGACCTTGACGCGAGCGCTCACTCAACTTGAGAGGCGCGCTTTGATCGCCTGTCCTGACCTTGAAAAACTGAAGGGCACATCTGACTGGCCATGTGTGCCACGGGTGCCACTCACAGCTCACAGCCTGTTGAGCTCAAGACATGGAATATGAGAAGCCCAGGTCTGATGATTGGAGCGCCTTGGATGCCATGCCCAATCCATGCATATTAAATGCATATTGACCCGAGGTTGGCCTTGAAAGTGCTCTCCGCCACGGTCTCATCGTAGACACTCACGGTCAGCGTGGTCGAGTCGGTCGCCTCGGCCACGCGCGAGTCATGGCTTAGCGGCTTCACCACCTGACTCTCTGACCGTGACGGAGGCGAGCTCGTCCAGCTTCATGGTTGTCTCATACGCGTTCACCTTGATGGCTTCCAAGAGCTGAGGTGATGCCTGGCTCTTTAGCCCGGCATCAAAAAGAGATCAAGAAAACAAATCAGCTCGTGCCTTTCCAGCTCGGATGGTCCTGAGGTTGTCTCGGACCAACTCCACAGACTTCTCCATCTTCTCCTGTGCGCATGCCGCTTCGCCTTGGCCTTCCACACATCACATGTCCTCAAACTCCTGCAGAAAGGCTTCAGTGTCAAGGTCGTCCAAACCTGGGATCCGTAGCCACGCTACCAAGGCTCACCCCGCCTACGCCACCTCCAACAGCTTGACCTCCGCCTCCGCCACCTCCGCCACCTCCACCTCCACCTCCGCCACCTCCACCTCCGCCACCTCCGCCACCTCCGCCTCCGCCTTTCTTCTTCTTTCCCATGCACGGAATCCTGGCACTTCGTCACTTCGTCACTTCGTCACTTCGTCACTTCGTCACTTCGTCACTTCGTCACTTCCATCGCAAAAGCCTCGAGCCTGGCGGTTGAGGCCTCAAGCCTCGCGGGCACAAGGCCACTGGCCAGCCCCCGGGCAGGCGCCAGCCTGGTGTTCATGCTCGTATGCTCGTGCGTTTCCGCCGTTTCTGGCTGAGGGCAAGGCACCGAGCCGTGGGCATCACCTGACTTCAACATGCAAACACTCAAGGGCACTCCAAGACACGGGCCTGGATGGTCTAAAGTCGAGTTCCTGCACAGAAGAAATACGCATTCAGCCTCTGCGTCAATCCAATCTGCCTCGCCCCGCTGCGAAGAACGAAGCCAATGGATCTAAACGCAAGCGACAAATGAACGCAACGTGACATCAGCTTGAAGCCAAGCGCCCGGCGCTTGGCAAAACCTGCAGCGGGCCGAAGTGAGCGGCAAATGCGCCGGGAAATGGGGCACGGACAAGGCCAAAAGCCCAGCACCTCGCCTACAAATCGGGCGAGTTGAGGCTCATAAGTCTGCGATGCGCAAGGTGGAGGCATGGCCTCCTTCCGGAGAGCGGTTGCGGCCTCATTGCTCTTTCCTGCGCTTGAGCGCAAGCTCTGTTGTCTGTGCGGAGTGGTGAGGACAGGGTTTGCTGGAGAAACAGCCAGGCAAGGTCACTACTTGCGCCGAATGACACGCGCTCTAGAGCCCGCCTTGGCGGATCGCCACGGCTCCCAAGACTCTTGAACCCAACAGCGGGTCGCAGTTGAATTGCAAAGCGTTGCAGCAAGGCACGGTGCTAAAAGCGATGCCAAGGACAAAGGCTACTTCCACTTCACCTCCCGACTGACGCACCTCAGGGGAGGCGACTGCCAAACTCTCCTGACGTGCATCGCATCAAGGACATAGACAAAAACGTGCAGAAGTGCTCCTCGCGCGCCTGGAAGGCTGCAGCCTTGGAAGCGCTCACAAGAGTCATCTTCATGCCATCTCATACCCTATGCGCTGGGGTGAATGGCACAAAAGCACAGGCGAGCACAGCACGGGCTCATACCTTCTTTTCCGTCTCCGCATCTGGCCCAGTCCACTTCAGGCTGCGGACCTCTGCCAGGGCAGAGGCCAAGGTTTCACGGTTAGCACCTCCGAAAGTCGCCGCAGGCCGTTGTGCACCAGCAGAACTTGTGCGGAACATCTCCGCACTCTCCAGCATGGCAAGCCCCTGATACTTTGACTCGGTTACACGTCAAGCATGCCTGCGCCCTGGAATTGTGATGTCCGACGTCATGAGGGAAAACTTCATGGCGAACCAAAGGTTGGCTGAAGGCTGGCAATAGTAGAAGGAGCAAGATAGAGCGTAACATGGCTGGCAAGGGGATCTCAGGCCATCCAATGACTTTTCTGGACAAACGCCTGGGCCAACAGCAGCCATGCGGCACACTGTGACTAGGACTACACATCACAACCCTCCCCCCCCCCCGACCATCCGCCCCTCCCTTCCTTCCTTCCTGCCTGCCTTCCTTCCTTCCTTGCTTCCTTCTTTCCTGTCTGCTCTTTCACATTTCTTTACCTCATGTTGCTTAGCTCTATATTTCCCTCTTTCCTTCTCCATTTTGTTCCTTCTTTCTTTCTTTCGTTATTCTGTCGTTCTTTTGTTCTTTCTTTTCCCTTTTTGTGTATTTCCTTTTCTGATATGTTTTTCTTTCTTTCTTTCTTTCTTTATTTCTTTCTTTCTTTCTTTTCTTTCTTTCTTTCTTTCTTTCTGTCTGTCTGTCTGTCTGTCTGTCTGTCTTTCTTTCTTCCTTCCTTTCTTTCTTTCTTTCTTTCTTTCTTTCTTTCTTTCTTTCTTTCTTTCTTTCTTTCTTTCTTTCTTTCTTTCTTTCTTTCTTTCTTTCTTTCTTTCTTTCCTTTTCTCTATTTCGTTATCTCGTTATTTCTTTCTTTCTTTCCTTTCTGTGCTTCCTTCTTTCGCTTCCTTTCTTTCTTCTTTCTGTCTCTCTACCTTCCCTTCTTTCAGTCCCTCCCTCACTAAGTCCATACGTTTTGATGAATCCTCCTTTCCTTCGATCCGCGCATGCGTTTTCCGGGATTTTCCTGTTCCTTCTTTCTTCTTGATGTTCTGCGTTTCTTTCTTCTGTCTGTCTGTCTGTCTGTCTCTCTGTCTCTGTCTCTGTCTCTGTCTCTGCCTCTCCCTCTGCCTCTGCCTCTGTCTCTGTCTCTGCCTCTGTCTCTGTCTCTGTCTCTGTCTCTGCCTCTGCCTCCGTCTCTGTCTCTGTCTGTCTCTGTCTTTCGGTCTCTCTCTCTCTGTATCCCTCTGTCCCTCTGTCCCTCTGCTCTCTGTCTCTCTGTCTCCCTGTCTATCTCCGGCTGTGCCCAGGCAGTGCGGCAGAGACTTGGCGCACTTGCCTTACCTAGCAGCCCGCACTAGCGCGGGGTGAACCTTGAAGGTGGCTATCGTCCCCTTTCCTGATCTAACGGGTGCGGTGGCCCAGTACCGCTGTGAGCGATCACAGGAAAAAGGGCCAACAGGGTATCACGCTGTCTTACCCTGAGGAAAGAGGGGCGCCGGCATGTTGATCTCCAACCGGAGTCACCCCGATGACGCTTGCGGAGGGATGACAACGATGGCGGGAGGGACTCTGCCGTAGTGCACTCCAGGTTGCTGCATCCATCCATCCATCCGGGCAATGCCAACAGTTCCAACTACACCACAACTCACCATTCCACTCACTGTGGAAGACTACTGCCATCCCAGTACTGGATGTGATGACCCAACTACAAGCAACACTTTTTACGGCCACATCTATGAGCCCACGTACAATCGACTCAGATCACGCACCAGACGCCCATCTGTGGCATAACTACAGCATCACCGAAGCACACGCACCCATGTGCGCGACAGAAACAACTACGTGCTCATCACCGTCGCCAACCAACTGCACCCATTATCAGGGATTACGTCAACCACTCCACTTCCATCATGAGCAACTACACAACTACTAAGCTGCACACCTCATCCAGGTCGACTTCACGGAGCTTAACAACTACACTTTGGCCAACGGATTCATCTGAGACTACCATCTACTTCTCAACCCCCAACAACCTTTGCGCTTCTTTGCGCCACACTCTACACATAACATTGCCAACAGATGTACAAGACGCATACTCAAAGCCAAAAATACGGCGTGCTACGGGCACCGCCTGACCCACTACACGTGGCAATCCAGCCACACACAACAACTACTCCGCACCTTGCAATAACTACAGATCACCACGTCTGATTGTCTGGCCGAAGCAGCCGTGAAATGACTCCTAGAAGGCTGCCTGAGCCCTTGACTACATAATGAGCGCTACTCATCATGACTGCGCTGAGCCCTGAACAGCGAGCGACATTGATGACTACGCAGTTATAACACCAAATACCTTATGAGACAGGAACAGGTAAAAAGTGCGCGAAAAAGGTCCCAGGCAAGAAAAGTGCAATTGACAGAACGCAAAAATACAAGTTACAGGGGAAGGCCAAGGCGAGAAAAGCGTCCAAGGGCAAGAAAAGTGAAATCAAAAGGCGCGGAACAAGGCTAAGGGTCAAAACCTGCTTTTTCACAAGTACAGAGATCAAAAGCGTTTTTCTGAACAGTTCCAAAAAAGGTTGAAGGTCAGAACTTGGTTTCAACACAAGGTCAAGGGTCAAAACCTGAAAACTCCAAAAACGAAAAACAAAAAAGGTCAAAGGTCAAAACTTGCTTTTCCGAAAGTCTACCATAAACAGGACAAAGGTCAAAAGCTGATTCTTCAAAAGTTCAGAAAAGCGTCAAAGGCAAAAGGCTAATATCCAACGGGTGAACAGCACACGCTTTCATCACTATTGCCAATCCCCCCTTTTGCATTCAGTTGTAAGATGCTACGGATCTTAGGACTGAGGGGCCGTGTCAATGCACATGTTGCGCTACTTGATCCTTGCGCATGCCCTGTACACTACCGCAGCCATGAGCTTTCTTTTGCTACCTGCGAGCCCTGGAAAAAAGGTTTGCGCAGACTACAGGCTTGACTGTTTGTCATAACAGCAGCACCTGTGCAACAGTTCGTTTTTAACGACAGAGACAGAGAGACTGTCAAACTACATGCTTCACTTCCTGCATTTGTGTTGCATGTACTGCAGGCCTTGAGCTCACTACATCGCATGTGTAAAAGGTGGATTGCTGCAGACTACAATCGGTTGACTGATTGTTTGAACATTACAGCACTTGCACTTGGAAGCAAAGTAGCCACTGATTTTAACGTGGTAGCGGAGCAGAGATCCTAAACATAGGGGAGCTCCAGTAAGCAGTAAGTACTACAACCACAGCAACAGCAGTCACATGCCAAACTACTACGACATGTCAGGAGAAGCAGCATCAGCCTCAGCACAACAAACTACAGGAGCAGAGAACGGGCCAACAGCAGACACAGTAGGAGCCACAACTACGGAGCAGGAACAGAACAAGACAACGACGTTCAGAGACTACATAGGTACGAACTGCCACCACCCTTCTTCACTGGTGACTACTCCCAGTATGAAGAATGGCTGTTCAAGCTACAAGCATACCTCGGCCTCATAGACCGAGACTTCGACCTGGTGCTACAACTAGCACAAGTGGCTACACGACAGATTGAGGACACAGACATAAGAGCCCACATACGCGGCCCTACACAAGCAACAAAAGCAGTAGACCTCTCACGAGATCTACACTACACCCTCATCAACATCTGTCAGGGAGCAGCAGCTACAGTAGTAAGGCAAAACCGCTACAACGCAAACGGATGTGAAACACTACGACTACTACACAACCAGGTTCAGCCTACCAGTAGGAACAAGAAGCGTTGGCTACCTTACCAAACTACTGGAACCTACGTTCAACGAAGCGCAGTTTGAAGAACAATTTCTACAATGGGAATACGACATCAACCGCTACGAGAAAGACAATGGAACAGCACTACCAGATGGAATCAAAATAGCAATACTACTCAACAAAACCAAGGGAGCACTGCAGCAACACCTCCAACTGCGAGCTGGACAGATCACGAACTACATCGAGATCAGAGCACTCATCTTGGACTACTACAAGACGATTTCAGCCTTCACTAGATCTACTTCAGCAGTAGGAACAAACTACAATGGAGGAGCTGCACCAATGGATGTTGACAACATATGGAGGAAAGGAAGAAACTACAAAGGCAAAGGAAAAGGAAAAGGCAGCTACAAAGGAAGCAAGAGCAAAGGCAAGTACAGGAGTAAAGGGCACTACAAAGGATTCGACAAAGGCAGCAAAGGAAACTACAACAAAGGAGGATACAACAAGAGCAAAGGAAAAGGCTACTCAGGATCCAAAGGATATGGATCAAGCAAAGGCTACAAAGGCCAAGGAAACTACAGCAAATCAAAAGGAAAAGGAAACAACAACTACACAACATGCCATCGATGTGGCAAGCCTGGCCACTGGGCACAAGACTGCAGAGTGCCAGTATGGCACATAGGAGAAGGAGAAGAACTACATCCACTAGAACAAGAACAAGCAGATCATGACAACAATGAAGAACTACCTCAGGATGTGAACGACACTTGGGACTGGTACTACGAAGGAGAAGAAGGACAACACGAGGTGAACTACATGGAGGAGAACTGGAACGACTACGACTATGACAACAGCTGGGATTGGAATGACAACAGCTATGAGGACACAGCAAACTACATTGGAGGCATCAACGAGTCACACCTTACCATTGGACACATCAGACAAGCAAACTCACGACTACACAAGCACAAATCCAAATCACTACTTGGCAAGAGAACAACACACACAACATCATGGAACGACCACAGCAAGAGCTTTCAACAATTCCTACAAGAAGACACCACACAGCCACACTTTGACATAGCAGCAGCAAGACAACAACAAAGGAACAAGAAGATTGAGGACA